TCATGGTCTCAAAGAGGATGATGGCCATCATGAGTACAGCGGAGGTCATGAACACCCTAGGCGAAGATTCATCTCAAATCTAATCCCCTTCTTCTGTCTCTATGCTAAAAGGATTGTCTGGAGGTCTGGAAAGGCCAATGAAGATCCTAGAGAGGTCTGCTTTTCTTCTTCCTGTTGAGTAAATGGCCCATTGGAGGTTCATTGTCTTCTTTGGGATTTGCCAGGAGAAAAAGATGAAGATCAGGGAAGAATCAGACTCAGGACAACAAGGGGCTGGATGGCCAGAAGCCCTATTAGTGGTTCAAATTTGGGATCAGCTGATCCTGCCAGCTGGAGTTCCCGCATCCCATCGCTTCCAGATAGTTGAAGGAGACCAAGGAGAGGGAATCTGAGTCACTTATCTATCTTCTGGGAGAATTCCCCCCCACACACACACTGGTGGCTCCCTTATCTATTCCTCACTTTCATGTGTCTGCATGTGTTCATGTTCAGTCTCTCTCCATCATGCACACTTGCTTCTTCTGAGGTCCCTGGCAGGTGTGTCTCTGAGCATGTGTGAATGCGCACAGGGGCCCGGAAAAGCATAGGTGGAAACAGAGTGGTGGGGAAGGCAGGCGAACACGGGCGGATGTATTCCCGTAGGAATGTGTCAACATGGAGAGTGGTCGACCAGACCAGATGAGCGGGATATAAATCAAATAAATGAATAAATGAAAAAATAAACACAAAATAAGAACAACGTCCAACAAAATGAATATGCATTTGTAAATAAAAATAAAAATAGTGCTGCCTAAAAAATACTCTGCTCCTATTTTGGCTTCTCTGATCAAACATCAGTGATTGGTCAATCTTATTTTTCTTCAGCTGGGTGTCCAAATCTACTAAATAAATTGGGAACTTGGAATTTCTAATTTGGCCATTGTAAGTGTGCACTTAAAAAAACACCAAACAAAACAACGACTTATGCAATGTTGACTTTATTTCAGGGAAACAAATGTTGCCTAAGGAATGTTCTCCCTCCTCCCAAAACCAGTCTCAGTGGGTGTGGCAAAAACAAACAAAAAAAAAAACTAGAATACATTCCCAGACAATCCCATCGTCCTCGTTGTTTAGTCGTTTAGTCATGTCCGACTCTTCGTGACCCCATGGACCAGAGCACGCCATGCCCTCCTATCTTCCACTGCCTCCTGAAGTTGTGACAAATTCATCTTGGTTGCTTCGCAGACACTGTCCAGCCATCTCATCCTCTGTCGTCCCCTTCTCCTCTTGCCGTCACACTTTCCTAACGTCAGAGTCTTTTCCAAGGAGTTTTCTCTTCTCATGAGATGGCTAAAGTACTGGATCCCCTCACCCATGTCCAAAAATGGGGGGGGGGGTGCCGAATCGGAGAGAGGCTGCTTATGATGCTTTCTTCCCCCCCCCAACCCACAGAGCACATAGACTATTCCAATCCCCCTCCACAGCCTTTGTTGGTGGTCCTTTGCTAGTGTTTTTTGAAATGGAGAAAAGAGAGGGGGATCCACTGGTGCGACTACCGAGAGCGTAAGGGGGTCTCCGTCTCTTGCGGATGGGCCGAGACGCGTGGTAAGAAGGCAAGGAAACGAGGCTGCTTTTCTTTTAAAGAACCCTAATCATGGATGACAGACTTCTCTGCAGCACTGGCCCTTTAGATCTATGACAATTCCAGAATCCTTCTCACTTGAGGTATCTCTCTCTCTCTCTCTGTTTGTGTGTGTGTTTGTGTGTGTGTGTGTAACAGAGGGTTGGGGAGACTTGAGGAAGGGTGTCGCTCCCCACCTTCCATTAAGCCCCAGCAGAAGGCACCCCGAAAGGTGATCCAGCTTCTTCCTAAGCCAAAAGCCTGCCCGGACTGCAAGGGAACCCTCTGACAAAGGAAACAGGCAGAGGAAAGAGGGAGGGAGAATGGGGAAAGGTGCATCCATTCACTTGAGATGGCTCAAGTGAGTGAGCCAGGCTGCATCCTTTGGGAGAAATCCACAAATCAAGAGGGGAAATCTTCAGGAATGGCCTCTCCTTCATCCCTCTTTCAGAGTAACCGGATGGGGAACCTGCTCAGGTTTGGATAAGGCCCACGGATACCTTAAACGGGCTGACATGTTCTCAAGGAAGACTGTGTTCAGAAGACCCTAAGGCAGGTCTTCAAAGGTGAAGAAAATATTCCCTGTGCTTGAAAGAAAGACTCCAGCATGTTTGCCCTTGGTAAGTATCATCAGTACCTCCACACGGTCTTTTGCAGAAGCAAGAAACGAGGAACCCCCTCACTGGCTTTGTAGTGGAAGTGATTTCCCATTATCTCCAAGTCTCTTTCATCGGCTCGCTTTGATTCCCACACTTTCCTTTTTTTCCCTGTTGTTTCCGATCTCAACAGACATAAATAGGGTCTCGGGTCCAGGCAAATACAATACTGAACGGTGCTCGTTATCACTTTTTATCCACAACTGAGACCGTTGACATGTGTCTGAAGTGACTGCCAGCCCATCCTGACCAAGAGTACTTGAGCCTTTTGGGTGCAGAGTCAGACCTGTACTTGCTTACTGATAACCCTCCAATCTCAAGTAACTAATAACGCACAACAGGCCACAAAACATTAATGCACACATGAGCACTAAACCCTGCCCGCAGGCCCTTTAATTAAGTCCATGAAAGCTTACATTAAAACCTAATGGTTAGTCTTTAAGGTATCACGTGTTTTCCTTTCTCTCTTTTGTCTTGTCTTGTTTTGGGTTTTTTTGGATTTTGCCTGATACCCTTTTAATTATTTTACTGCACACATTTGGTCTTTATAGCACCCCTCCCTTCCCCTTTTCTTTGTTCTTATTCTGTATTCTAATTTCTTTCTCTTGTAGGAATTTTTACCAAACAGACTTCAGAAGAACGGCTCACTTAAACACTGGTCCTGAATTACTGCACGTAGGAGATGCAACCATTCACCTCTGACAAAAGCTCACCTTAAAATACACAAGTTTTTGTCTTTTGGTCTTATTATTATTATTAATAATAAGTGAGTGACTGTGTCTGGGAGAATTTCTGGCCTGCACTCCCTCGGCCTTTTCAGGACTGGGACCCTGCTGCTACTGCTGCTGCTGCTTCAGGCCCCCCCACCCCCTTCCATAACATCAGCCACTTGGCTGGGAGGGAGGGAGGCCATAAAAGCCGGAAGCTTGTGCCAGGGCCCTCACAGACCAGCGTTCCTGACGTCGGGGGAGTTGCCTACAATATCTGCCATCCCCAGGCACGGGGTGAGTGACTGTGTCTGGGAGAATTTCTGGCCTGCACTCCCTCGGCCTTTTCAGGACTGGGACCCTGCTGCTACTGCTG